AGTCTCTGTTGGCCTGGAGCTCGCCAAGTAGACTAGGCCTGCTGCCTAGTGAGTCCCAGGGATAATTGTCTCTACTTCCCCGTCACTGGAATCATAAGCATGTGACACAAAGCCTGTATTTCATTTTGGTTTTGGTTTTGCATAGGCTATGGGGATCAAGCTTAGGTCCTTGTGTCTGTAAAATGAGCACTTCCATTATGAAACTATCTCTCCAACCCATCATAGAGTCACCTGCATCCTTATGCTAATTTCTCAGGTAGGCTTCCACAGATCACCTTATTGAAAACTGGAACTAAGTGACTCCAGACATCAGAAACTTATTTTTCCCACATATATTCTAGAACCCAGAAATCGGAAATCAAAATGAGCATAAAACCACACTCCTGCTGACATTTTCCTAACCTCTTCTAGATTCTGGTAGTTGAGTGTCTACACTGGTTTGACCTGTCTGCATGTCTGTAGGGATTGCCTCAGTTAAGTTAATTGTTGTGGAATGACCCAGCCTACTGGGGGTGACATCATTCCCTAGGCTCTGGGTCTTTAACTGTTTAAGACCAGAAAAATCTAGCTGAGCCCAAGAAAGCCCAAGTGAGCATGTATATATTCATTTCTCTGTGGGTGTTCGAAGTTCCTGCCTTTACTTCTAGTGAAAGAGTGTGACCTGAACTCATGTGCTAAAGTTTAAAAAAGCTTTCCTAAGTTGTTTTTTTTAAAAAAGCTTTATTTTTTAAACTTGTGTGGGTGCACATGCATGTGTATTCTGTGTGGGTGTATGTATGTGAGAACAGAGCCAGCAAAGGCCAGAAAAGGGAGTCCAATGCCCTGGAGCTGAAGTTGCAGGTAGTCATGAGCCACCCGACATGGGTTCTAGGAACTGAACTTGGGTCTTCTATAAGAATGGCGCATACTCCTGACCATGTAGCCATCTCTCCGGTTCCCTAAGTTGCTTTTTTGTCAGGGTATTTTTATCACAGCAACAGAATTGAAACTAGGGCATGAGTGAAGAGGCAAAGAGAACTCTAGTAGTCTATACTTGCTGTTTGGATGAAAGAACTCCCCTCAGCTCTCCAGCGCAGGGATCTTGCTAAGGAGGTAGAGATAAAAGATGGCAATTAGTTCCAGCTCGTGTGGAGACAAGCGCATCACCACTTTGCTGGCACCGTCAACCCTCAGGTGCACAAGACAAAACAGTGCTTCTCAACCTAACGCTGTGACCCTTTATGCAGTTTCTCATGTTGTGGTGACCCCCAACCATAAAGTTATTTTCATTGCTGCTTCAAAACTGTGATGTTGCCACTGTTATGGATAGTAATATAGATATTTTAGGAGATAGAAGTTTACTGAAGGGTCGTGACCCACAGGTTAAAAACCACTGAACTAGAGAAAGGACCGCGGCCATGGCGGCAGATGCGAGTACATTTGGTCCCTATTGAACACCAGCAAGCATCATGTAGAAACAGGAAGACTTTCTTTGCCATCTTCTGACACCTTTCACTTTCCCCTTTTGTGAGCTCATCACTGAATCAAGCCCTTTCCCTAAAGCCATGGCAGTCTCTACATGCTGGCTATTTCCTGATGTTGGAAATGGTGCTGGTGATTTTGAATTTGTGAGAAACTTATATACATTTTCTGATATCTTAAAAAGTCCATTCTGGGCCCCAGTCACTGAGCCGCCGCCGAGGACTCAGCTGCCTCCCCCTCGAGCCCCCTCGCTTCCCGACGCTCCGTCCCCCCTGCCCGCCTTCTCCCGCAGCCGCCTTCCGCAGGCCGTTTCCACCGAGGAAAAGGAATCGTGTCGTATGTCCGCTATCCAGAACCTCCACTCTTTCGACCCCTTTGCTGATGCAAGTAAGGGTGATGACCTGCTTCCTGCTGGCACTGAGGATTATATCCATATAAGAATTCAACAGAGAAACGGCAGGAAGACCCTTACTACTGTCCAAGGGATCGCTGATGATTACGATAAAAAGAAACTAGTGAAGGCGTTTAAGAAGAAATTTGCCTGCAATGGTACTGTAATTGAGCATCCAGAATATGGAGAAGTAATTCAGCTACAGGGTGACCAGCGCAAGAACATATGCCAGTTCCTGATAGAGATTGGACTGGCTAAGGACGACCAGCTGAAGGTTCATGGGTTTTAAGTGCTCGTGACTCTCAGAAGCTTAAGTGAGGATTTCCTTGCAATGAGTAGAATTTCCCTCCTGTCCCTTGTCACAAGTTTAAAAACCTCACAGCTTGTATAATGTAACCATTTGGGGTCCGTTTTTAACTTGGACTAGTGTAACTCCTCCATGCAATAAACTGAAAAGAGCCAAAAAAAAAAAAAAGTCCATTCTGACCTAACCACCTCTAAGTGTGGGAACAGTTTGTGACTTTCTACTTGATGTTTTGAAAATCCATTTGGAATATACAAGAAAAAATGGCCCATAAATTTCAGTTTAGCTTCCTGAGATAAAGATGACCTACCTGCCAGAGACAATTCTATCCTGAAATGCATCCTCCTCCACCCCACTACAGCCCAGGTCATAGGAGTGTTACCCTGTGAATTCTCTATGTCTTCCCCATCCAGCTTTTGCCTGCGTGGTGACTGAGAGTACCACTCCATGTGGGTGCCTGGGGTACTCCTTGAAAATTGCTTCCGTGGGGTGTATTTGTTCTTTTTCTTATCACTATGATCTAATACCTGACAAGAAACAACTTAAGGAGAATTTATTTTATCTCACTGTTTGAGGGGATACAGTCCATCATGACAGGTGTTCCAGTTTAATTTGTATTGCTGTAATAAAACACCTTGACATATAAAACATCTTGGGGGAGGAAGGGGTTTATATGGTTTATAATCCCAGATTACACTCCAATGTGAAATAAGTCAAGGCAAGAGCTTAAAGTGTCCCGCACAGAATTAGGAGCAGAGATGCAATACATATATGAATCTTAGCTAGCTTTCTCCTGTAATAAACAATTCAGAACTTTTTTGCCTAGGGAATGGTGCTGCCTTCAATGGGCTGACTCCTTTAGCATCAATTAGTAACCATACTGCAGACACACCCACAGGCTAACCGAATCTGGACAATTTCTCAATTGAGGGGCTTTTCTTCGAAGACTCTAGGTTGTGGCAAACTGACAATTAAAAGCTAACAACCAGGAAGTCATGGTGGCATGAGAGGCTCCTAGCTGTGACAGTGGGGGCTTGCTCATGGCAGGTTGGATGAGGAAGCAGAGAGAGAAGGTTCTGGTTCTCAGATTGCCTCCTCATTTTTCCTTTCATTCAGTCTGGGACCCAAGCCCATGGGATGGCGCCATTCCTGGCGGGTGAGTCGTCTCTCCTCAGTTAAAGCCCTTTAGAAGCAGCTTCACAGATACCCTAAGATGTGTGCTTCAGGAATGCTACAATACAGTCAAGTAGACACTCAAAATTAACCACCATCATATGAGGCAAACCCTGCAAACATCTGTGTGTTTCAGGATGCTCTGTGAATGCCAAAACCCATTTTGTGAGGTGCTTTCTTCCTCGGACTAAACCTCTGACAAAAGCCTGTTCCTCATAATGACAGCTGGCAGGCTCACGGCTCCCGACAGTGAGAGCAAGACCTAAGTGGCCTGCCTGATTTTCAGTTTGGTTTAACAAGCATTCCGAGTTTGAGATACAACCAGATGGAGACCTTTGAGCTTGGTGGGATCAACAGTAATCTAATTCACACAGCAGAGTGAAGGAAGAGCAGACGTGAAAGGCAAAGAAAGGGTCTTATTATTCCCTGCCCCTCCATCATTTAACCCTCCGCTGTGTTTGCTTGCTGCCTGTAGAATGAAGGAATGAAACATCTTTTAGCAACTCAGAGGGCTCGGTGCATGGTTAGTAGAGGGCTTGGTGCATGGCTGTCTGGCAAAGGGAGAATCTGTGTAAGAGCAGCGAAGGAGAGAAAAATATACAGGTGTGCCGGGGTGGGGAGGCAATGGTTGAAAGACGGGTGCCTCAACTGCGGCGGGGCTGAGGAGCAGGGATGTTCATATGTCAGGTTTCAGGGGGAGCCCACAAGGTGGTAGACATTTCCAGCTCTACTCGTCACTCCCAGAGCCCAGTCTCCTCCACCAGCCTCGAGAACCAGAAGAGCGGCGCGTCCCCTGGAGCTGGAGTTACAGGCGGTTCTTTGTGGTTCCACCGTGTGCTGGGAACTGAGCTCTGGTCCTCTGTAAGTGCACACAGCCAGTACTCTATGTCACGGATCTGTTTCTCCAGCTCATCTCCAAAATCCTGCAAAACCCTACTGTGGGGATGACCCCTAATCCTGTGGGGCTTTGGCTAAGAACCCAGTTCTAGTAACTCTAAACACTGGTCCGTGAAGCTGATTCCCCAGCTGCAATCCAGTCTTCTCATCTGGGAGCCCATGTGTCTTCATTGATTTCTGTGTTTTATTTCTTTCTAGACATTTATTGCCTGAGGTATTCCTAGATAATTATTATGTTAATATTTTAGCTTGTATTTTTTCTCTCATTATGTATTCTAATTGCTTTTTCTTTAGGAAAGGTGGTGTATCTCCATATCACTGGATTCCTATACTTACTTCCAGAATTATTCTTTTGATTATTCCATGCTTATTAGGTATTTAATCAATATTTGAAATGCCCATCATGCTAACATTATTTTCCATAAGTCTGAATTTCAAAATGATCATATATGTATATATATTATTTTTAACCATTTATTTTATTTCATCAGCCTAGAATTCTTCTGTGTTTTGATTCATTAGTTTTATATTTTACCTTCACTTTCCATGTTCTGTTTACTTTATTTCTTAGCTCCTACAGTAGAATTCTGGGTTCATTTATTATAATACTTTCTGGTTTAACAATAAAAAATAATTAAGGCTGTGGATTTTATTCTGAATACATGTAACTTTGCCGTAGATTATTTCCCTTTGGGATGCCACATTTTTATCCTCGTTTGTAACTCAATTTGATGAATCATTTTCCCGGTTTCCTTTTTCTGTTTTTTTCTGCAGTGATGTCATTGGAGAGAGAAATCAATAGCAAATAAACAGTCTGGAAATTGTCACTGGAGAACAAGTGCCAGACTGGGAAACACCATGAGTAGGAACAGCACAGACAGCTAAAGAAGTATGGGTTTGAATCTGAAATGCCTAATGGACTCATGATGTTTCAGGTCTCATTCTCTGGATGGTGGTGGTGTTCTGAAGGCTGTGGCACCTTCAGGAAGCGGAGGCTGGCTGGAGGAAGTAGGTAACTGGAGTGGGCCCATGATTATACCTGGCCCTGGTTCATGCCATGATCATCCTGACTGACCTTGGTGTCCGTAAGCACCTGCTTCATATTCCTGCCAGCATGCACGGGAACACTCCACGTTTGTTCTCCCACCTTGATGGAACGAGGCCCCTGAAACCATGATCCAAGACCAATCCGCCCTCTCTCTCGTGGTTTCTGTTGTGTGTTTTGTCACAGCAGCAAGAAGAGGAGTTGGGAAAGTGTCTCTGTAGAGTGCTGGTGTTGCAAGCAGGAGGACCTGAGTGTGGATTCCCGGAACCCACACGAGAATCAGAATGTTGTGCATGTGCTTATACTCCCAGGGATGGGGAAATAGGATACGAGGCAGGCAGGTCCTTGGGAGCTCCTTGGCTAAGTAGCACAGCTGACTTGGTGAGACCCCGGGCTAATGACGAGCCCTGCTTCAAACAAAAAGTGGAAGGAAGATGCCTGAGAAAAGACACCTGAGGTTGTCCTCCGGCCCCCACATTTTCAGTCGTGCATGTCCATCGTTGTGATAAAACACCCTGACTAAAAACAACTTTGGAGAGGAAAGAATTGATTTGCTTTATACTTCTGGGCCACAAACAAACAAACAAAAACCGGCCAGGCATCGACTTCAGTTTAACCAACCAACCAAGCAAGAAACCCATCAACTAACTATCCATCCAAGTAACGAGGGAATGTAGAAACTTTCCTTTTCAGAGTGCCTCCTAGGCAGGGACTTTGCCTACTTGGAGTGTCTTCTCCCAACCCATATCTGTAGCCAGTGTGGCTCTCATAAATGATTTATTTCTTCTTTCCAAAACCTCATTGTAAAACCTCTTAACCTATTACTGGTAGTGGTAACCATGTATTTCCAATTATCGTCTGGCTTTGCTGGTGGTGCCATAGGGAGTTCGTTTTGCCTTTTGGCTTGCATCTGTAACAGCTCAATAAATCCTTTGCTCTAGAAA